TTTTATGTCCCTCCCCCACGGTATAACCCCTGTTTTCACTGTATTTGATATTGGTATAATTTGTGGAAGGGAAGGGAAAAAACAAATTGTTTAAATAGGGATACAGGTGGACCCATTGCAACAATGAGATGTACAAGATGTTATGTCAAAAAACGAACTTTACAACTTTGGCGTGGGGGCGGGGGGGAAGGGTGGAGATGGGAAGGAATGGGTAGGGGAAACAAAGGAGGAGGCAACAAAGCTTGATAAGAAATGTACTCATTACCTTGCTCTGGTAATTGTAACCCCTCTGTATGGTACTTTCACAATTAAAAAAAAAATACCTAAAGCAAAAAAAAATGCAATATCCATTTAAAGAAGAGAATAAAAACATTGAACTGTTAGAAAGCTGGGAGACAAATCTAAATGACCCTGGATATGTACAATTTTCTTTTTTCTCTTTCCCTTTTTCTTTGTTTGTCTGTTTATTGCTGAGTCCTGAGATATGAACTCGGAGCCTGGGTGCTGTACCTGAACAACTTTTGCTCAAGGCTAGCACCCTACCACTAGAGCTATAACTCTACTTCTGGTTTTTTGATGGTTTATTGAAGAAAGAATTTCATGGACTCTTTCTTCCCTGGGCTGGCTTCAAACTGTGATCTTCAGAGCTAAGCCTCCTTACCTAGGATTATAGCCATTGGCCTACAGATTAAAAAAAATTGTTTTTAAATAGAAGGCAAAATGCACAACAAATCAGAGTGAAAAATACTTTAATTTGGACTTAAAAAATTAAGTTCTTCTTTCTTTATAAAACCCTTATTAAGAGGCTGGGAAGGTGGCTCAGTGGTAGAGTGCTTGCCTTGCATGCATGAGGTCCTGGGTTCAATTCCTCAGCACCACATAAGCAGAAAAAGCTGGAAGTGGTGTTGTGGCTTAAGTGAAAGTTTTTAACCTAGTAACAAAGGAGGGAAATACTTGAACAGACATTTCACAAAAGAAAATGGCAACAAATGTAAAACGGTTCATCTTCATTAGTCATCAGTTAAGTTGGAGGCAGGAGCACTGCAAGTTTGAGGTCAGTCTAGGCTCTATAGTGAGAACCCTCTCAAAATAAAACAACAACTTATAATAAAATCAAAATAAACAACACAACACAACAAAAACATAATAAAATCATGCTTAAGTTTTAAATTATTTCAACCATTTTAGCAAACAAATTTGTCAGTATCTAAAAATATTATACATACAACCTAACCAGTCTATTCCTAGATATTCACTCAAAAAAGTGAAAGAAAATGTAAGATTTTTATAATAAAACTGGAGAAAGTCAAATGCTTTTTAGTAGGGAAATGAATAAGTAAATTGCAGTATATCCATAAAATGGAATACTATGTAGTAATCAAGAAGACAAACTATTTCTTACTTCATGTATTATTTTGAAAATCATTGTGCTGATTGAAAGAAGCCAAACCAGAAAAAAAAGTACATGCTGTATTGTACTATTTATTGGAAATTTTATGGTTTTCAAACAAGAGAAAGCAGGGAAGTGGTTGCCTATTGATCAGAACAAAAAAGGGAGAGACTTAAAAGGGATGTTTTTCAAAGGGAACTTTTAGGGGAATGGAAATATTTTTATCTTGATTGTGGTATTTGGGTTTCACAAACTCACCAAATTATACATAAGGCTGGACCATTTTATTATTAAGTATCAATAGCTAACTAAAATGCTAACTAAAATGGTTTTAATAAGAAAAACAGGAGGAGGTAACAATGCTCCATAGGAAATGTACTCATTGCCCTACTCATATAACTGTAACCTCTCTGTACAGTATTTTATAAAAATATATATTTTATAAAAATATTTATTAAAATATATATTAAACAAACAAGAAAAGCATTCTTTAATTGTATTAACAACAATGTCATGTCACCTGAATATTAATAATGATAATAGTAATAATAATCCATACTAGAAATTCTTGGGCCTCTGAATCTCTTTGATTTAAATAACAGATATAGGACAAGTGATAGCTATAAAATATTTAATAATAAAGAATATAAATGATAGGTTTACTTGCAGTGGATCTTTGCTTTCCTTGGAAACATATGAACTTTCCCAATATTTAAATATTGGGAAAATACTCTTTAACAATAGGAATATTTTTCAAAATATGGTATATGTGGATTGAAAGAAAAAAGCCCCTTTGATGAATAAAAGTTGAGTAATTGATTTGTATAAAGGGAGAAATGTAATCTACTATAGATTTTTTAGCTCCTGTTTTAAGAACTATTTTACTTTTAGGAGCTGTACTTTGTAAGAGGCATTGATGACTTAGAGGTGAGCAAGTTGAGCAAGAGTTATTAAAGTGCCTATAGAAACTACTCAAGTGAGCAATGAATGAGAGCATAGGGTCTCTTTGACGTAAGCAGATGATTTAATGGAACTATACAAACTTAAAATATTCTGAGTCTTGGAAAGAATGACAGAGTTGATTTATTATTGTCCTAGAATCGTGTGTTTAAACATAACATATATGTATATATAATGACTCTTGCATGTGATATATATTCCCACAGTATGGCTTTTTGATAAAAGCTTAAGATGTTCTAACTTTCATATTTACTTAGAGTGTCTGATTCCAAACAAAGGTTGAGTTCTCAGTACTAATTTAAACTATATAGTTGAAAAAGTGACTCAACTCCTGCTAAAGTTTTTGTGTTTGTTTTCTTTGAAATACCTATGTGTGATCAAAATAAAATTCCTCATGGGTGGTGTAGGTGCTGAGTAATAGCCACACACCTAGAGTATTTGAGTGCAAATGCAAACTTTGTAAGTACAAACACTCAGTCATTTCAAGATGCATGAGTGTTACACAATAACTACACACCCTGCCGTCTTGAATTAACAAATTAAAAAGACAGCTAATGTTTGCGTAAACTTTTAAAATGGCCTTAATGAAAACTAAAATCAGAATCACTGGGTGTTTCCTTTTTGACCATTCCTTTTTCATATGAAAGTCAAAGTCTTTAACAAGGTTCCCATGAATAAAAACATTCTAAGTTGCTCAATCATCTGGACTTACCAGAGAGAGCCTATAACAATTTAGCTTTTTGTGGTAGGAATATTTATAGGAATTCTAAAGATTTTATATCAACTAATGTGCTAGTCTAGGAAGAACTTGGTTTGTTAATTACTTCCTTGGTATTGCTCTTCTTTTCTCTCTGAAAGTTTAACTAGAATAGCAGCAGAAATTTTCCAAAATTTATTCTTACTTGAATAATAAACTTATGACCAGTTATCACATGAGAAGCTTCTATGAATCATCTTCCAAACTATGTTCTTTCTACATTCTTTGACATAAAGTTGTTACAAATAAATGGCATTGGGTCCTCTGATATGCAGTAATAGTGGAACATTTATCAAGTGACTTTTGAGAGTTCACATGCAACTGTTTGTGGTATCACTGTGTGTCTGTTTCTCAAGGAAGCCTGTCATATCATTTTTATTCAGAGAAGCTGCATGTTCACTTTAATGCGTTTGAATTGTTTTTCCAATGAAGCATAGGCTTTGAAAATGCAAGGAAATGACTATAGATTTCACTATGTACTTGTTTCACATTGTATTATTTTTTCAGTTATGTTTTAATTAATCCTGTTCACAACCGATTTTCAGTTTATTTTTCTATAATTTGTTTTCCTAGATGAAATTTCAAACCATAAGTAATATAAATATCCTGACTTTTCAATTTTCAGTAAGTTAATCATGTAGCTAATATATTACTAAAGTATATAGTAGTATGAAGAAAAAAATTATTGTGAGAATTAAAATATTTTCCAATATTCAGAGTCCTGAAACAGATTATTCATATTATAGATGGTCAGCAGAACACAGAAATTGGTAATTCCTTAAGTAACTTTTCCAGTATCAAGTACCATTTAAGTAAACAGTTGTGTTTATGCATGTGTTTAATGCATTGCTTTTTTAGCTAAGTATGTCATATGAACCACCAAGCATATTCTTAGACAAGCCAAGATAGCTTCAGCAGCACTCATATATCTTTTGAGACTGCCACATTATTTACATACAGTCAGTTGATGACTAAAATTATCATTGTATCAGGCATGTGTTTTAAATGTATTAATCAGTAATTATATAACTCCTTTTTATTATTTAGAGAAATAGTCTCATAATTTATCACAAGTGAGAAAATATATAAATCTTCTAACTCATGAAATATAAGAAGCTTGAAAATAGGACAAACTAGAAGTTTGTTTAGACACATCTTAGTAAAATTTCCCCAAACCAGAAATAGAGATCTTTAACAGTAACTGCAAATAGAAGATAACTTAAGTAGAACGACATGAGGTTGACCAAGGGTTAATATTGTCAAGGCACTGAAATAATTTAACTTACAACTAGAATTTTCTAACTAGCTACATTGGCATTTAAATGTAAGACTGAAATAATGATATTTTAAAATGAAATGGAGCATGAAAATTTCAGTAAATTGATATTTACATATCTTTCTTGTTTTCCTATATGGATAGGGAATAGATAGGGTTGCCTTTTTAAAACAAAATTGTTATTATTAAGTAGGTGTACAAAGGGGTTATAGCTGCACAAGTCAGGTTATGAGAATAATACTTGTTGAACGGTGACACTGCTTCCTTTGTTCGTCCCTCATTTCCCCCTTTCTGCCTCTATCCACAAGTTACATAGTTCATTTTTTACATAGTGTACATTTAATACAGTGACTGAATTTGCTTACCCTTACCATTTTTTAACATTACATTTTTGTAAAGCTCTGTATATGATTGTTCAAGTTGAGCATAACTGTATATTTTAAATTATTTTAAATATTTTATAAAGGGATATTTTGTTTAAATATGGCTAGAAATGGGCTAAGCTTTAGTCATTTGGACTTATTTGGGGGAAAATGTAATTTTCGGGACATGTTTTATTATTTTAACTAAAAAACTATTTTTTAAAGGCACTTAACAATAATTATTCTTGCATTTAGATCAAATCCTTTTTATGAACCTAAACCAACTTCTCCAAATAACTTGGCAAATACAGTTCAAGAAGTGGAAACTGAAAAGAGAGTGAAAAGAAAGGCACCGGCTCCACCAGTCCTTTCACCAAAGACAGGAGGGGTAAATGAGAACATGCTTGCTTCTGCAGGAAGAGATCTCTCTGCTTCACCTAAGGTAGGACTTTTTTTTTTAACTAAATTAACCATGTATTTATAATTGCTCCTTTTCCTCCTTGCGCTATAATCAAATTAATAAAAATCATTGTTAGCTTTTATTGACATAAGTAAAGTAAAATTCAAATAAAATCTAATATGTTACAGTACTGAAATGTATATTTTCAAGATCATAAATTCACAGCATGTTATGATTGGATAGCTTGGATCCATTTATTTTGTTTGGTTGGTTGATTGGTAGTGCTTGGGACTGAAACCAGGTCCTGGCGTAACCACATACCCAGCCACAAGGATTGTTTTTTTAAATACTGATTTGAAAGTGAAGGAAGAAAGGCACTATAATTATAGGATTGATGCTTTAAGAAATGTTGTAGCCAGGCGCCAGTGGCTCACACCTGTAATCCTAGCTACTCAGGAGGCTGAGATCTGAGGATTGCGGTTCAAAGCCAGCCCAGGCAGGAAAGTCCGTGAGACTCTTATCTCCAATAAAAACCACTAGAAAACTGGAAGTGGTGTTGTGGCTCAAGCAGTAGAGTGCTCGCCTTGAGCTGAAGAGCACAGGGACAGCACCCAAGCCCAGAGTTCAAGCCCCACGACTAACAGAAAAAAAAAAAGAAAAAAAAAAGAAATGATGTTGTAAAACATGAGGGACTGCTTATGCTAATACAGAGGAACTAATACAGAAAGTGTCTTATGACAAATATATAATAAAGATTGAGGTTCAGTGCAGAGACATTCTTTGAAGAATTTCAATACTATTCCTTTGACTTGATAGAATTTGACTTTCACTCTTCTAAGAAAATTTAATGCATAATAATTATACATAAGGGTGAAACTGTGGAAACAAGGTATGAAATAGTTTGATTACAAATAATGTTGGCAGATTTTTTCACATAAAAATTTTGGCCATTTGTATATTGTTATTGTGACCATACCAGACTATTTAATTCCTACGAATAGTCACAGTAAATATAGAATAGAGTTGATCTCACAAGGATAGGAAAGAGATGGCTAATTCCAGTCTGCATAAGAGCAAAAGTAAAGACAATTGGGTATTAGCTACAATCCCAAAAGCTATTTAGGCACCTTATCCAAGTGACCATAAATAAAAATACTAATACAATTATCCTCTGTCTCCCTAAATCTTTAGTTCCTTCTTTTTTGAAAATTCTTTCGTAGTTGTTGTGATAATGGTGTACAGACAGATTACAGTTATAAGTCAGGTAATGGGTACATTTCTTTCTGGATGATGTCACTCCTTCCCTCACTCTCTCCCAGTTTTCCCCTCCTATCGCCACCTACAAGTTGTGTAGTTCATTTTCAACATAGTCTCTAGTGAATACCACTGCTGCATTTGTTCACCTGCATTTGTTCACCTACATTTGTCCCTCCATTTCTGTGTTCCCCCTTACCCTCCCAAAGACAGATAAATGTATAAACAAGACAGAAAGAAAGGCAAACAAAAACACAATGAGGAAAAAAATTTTCAACATTTCCTGGAGGTTATTCCGATAAATATTATGTTATATGATGAGATAGGCATTGCGCCTTTGTGTTCCTCTCCTAAGGTATCCACCTTGGTCTCATTGTGTATGAATGCCTAGAGTTCTTTATAATTTATCATGTCCCTCTGTATTTTAGTTCTAGCTTCCACATATGAGAGAAAACATGTATGATTTGTCTCTCTGAGCTTGGCTTACCTCACCTCATATGACTTGTTCTATGGCCATCTATTTCTCTGCAGGTGACATAATAATTATTCTTTCTAATCACTGTGTAAAATTCCATTGTGTATAGATACCACATTTTTTTTGATCCATTCATCTATTTTCGGGCATTTGGGCTGTTTCCACAACTTGACTATTGTGAATAGTGCAAGTTATTGTGGATGTGCCAGTGTCTTTACAGTATCCTGGTTTGTGATACTCTGAGTATAAAAGAGTAATAATATACATGATTTCAGACAGAGACATGCCTAATGCCTACCAATATTTTATGGTATTTAACTTATAGACAAACATGAAGTTAAAGTATACACATCGCACACACACATACACACATACACATACACACTCACACCTATATATGTGTATATTTCTGTTGAGGAAAGTGAATTATGATTTGTAATTTCATGTTCTGTGCCTTATGTTGTTGTTTTTGGTTTTTGGGTTTTGGGATTTTTTGGGTCCAGTCGTGGGGCCTGAACTCTGGGCCTAGGCGCTGTCCCTCAGCTCTTCAGCTCGAGGCTAGGGTGCTACCATGTGAGCCATAGTTCCACTTCCAGCTTTTTTTTTTCTTTCTGCTTATGTGGTGCTGAGGAATCAAACCCAGTGCCTCATGCATGCGAGACAAGTGCTCTACCACTGAGCCACCTTCTCAGCCCCATGTGCCTTATGTTTTAACAAATGAAGTGTCACTGTTTTTTATCTTAAGGACCCACTCATCAACTTGAATATTAGATCCATCTCTGATATAGTTAAAGGCTTCAATCCTGATTTGATCCTCTACTTCTTGCATCAAGTTTGTGGTTTGGATTTTTTGTTTTTTTGTCTTTTTGTTCTTGACCAGTGACCAGTTAGCTTATACATTTATTGAAGACAGCCCATCTTAGAAGTAAGTAGCAAATCTTGATGATACCTGGAATCCATGTGTCCCTTCATTTACTTTCTCATTCTTCTGCCTCCTACTGGAGAAGTTGGCTGTATTCATTTTTATTTCCCTCAGTCTACTAAAGTCTGACCTCTTATCTGTCAATCTAATCTCTAGCCTTTGAAACTTTTCTGTTAAGGTTGTCTTCATACTGCCAATTCCTAATGGTTTATTTTAGTCCTTAGTGATCCCTTCAGCAATATTTGTTTCTGATTATTTTTTCCTTTTTAAACAATTTTAATAGAATTGCAGTTGCTAGAAGATAATATTTACATAGTTCTAAAAGCAAAATAACATGATATCTATGGGAAGTCTTGCTGCATCTGTCCCATTTGTCACATTTTACTTCTCTCTAGCCTGGCTTCCTAATGACAACTTTTATTGATTTCTGTGTATTGTCTGAGAGGTTTTTTAATGTAGATACAACAAATCCAAATACTTAATATTCTCTTCTGTCCCAAAGGTAACATCCTATAAATGCTGTTCTGTACCTCCATGATGTTCTTTTCATTAAATGTTTTTGACTAAAATATTTTCATTTTAATATATGAAGAATTTTCTTATTTTACTTATTTGCTTATTTTTTTAATATAGATTCTCAGTGTGTAGGCCAGGCTGGCCTTGAACTCATTGTCCTCCTACTAGAGACTTCCAAGTGTTAGGATTATAGGTGTGCACACCTGGCATATGTTTATTTTCTCTTCAAGATTTTAAGATTTTTTTCTTCATCTGCTTTTTGGAATTTTAACTATATTTTGGCATAGATTTCTTTTATGTTGCCATATTTAATATTCACTCAACTTTATGAATATGTAGGTATATATCTTTTGCCAAATTAGGAGAGTTGCCAATCATTATTTCTTCAAGCATTTTTTCAACCATGGTTTCTGTTTTATCTACTTCCATGACTGTGGGGATACAAGTTTAGTTCTTTTGTTTTGGTCTCACAGATTCCTTTAGTTTGGTTTGGTTGCTTTTTCCCACAAGGTATTTTTTTTTTCTTCTGTTTATATTGGACAATTTATAGTATTCAGTTTTTAAATTCACTAATATTTTCCCTGTCTTCTACATTCTGTTATTGACTTGTTCATTGGTGGTTTTACTTGAGCTACTTGTGTATGTACTTTTTTGCTGAAACTTTCTTTTTATATGTTTCAGGCATATTTATAACTATTCATTGAAGGTTCATTTATTTATTTTTATTTTTAAATCTTATTTATGTTTTAGCTTTAGTTGTACAAAAGAGCATTCAAGAAAGCATTTTATGAATACTATGCATCTTGGTCAACGTCACCCCTTTGAACACTCCTACCCCTTTTTAAATTTTTATTTATTTATTTATTTAGTACAAGTAATAACTAAGGCTTGAACTTCAGGCCTCATGTTCTTGCTTCAACTTTTTCCACCTTGACTGGCACTCTACCACTTGAGCCATACCTGCTATTCCAGACTTTTGCTGGTTAATTGAAGATTTAAGGGTTTTGTCTGCTTAGGCTGGCTTCAAACCATGATCTTCAAATCTCAGCCTCCTGAATAGTTGGGATTATAGACATGAGCCACTGGCATTGAAGCATTTTATGATGGTAAATTGTTATTAGAAAATTCTTTCTTCCCTTTTATTTTTATGTGACATTTACTGGTCTTTTTGTCCTTTGAAATTTTTCTGGTAATGACTTGCTATTCACACATCTGAATAAGTTTTTATTGTGTTTTAAGACTTTGAAAAAATTCTGTAGTATTACTGAAGTCATCAAAGGCTAACAGGAACTAGGGGTATCTGGAAGTTAAGGCCTGGTATCTTATCTGGACAGGCAGGTAGCAGAGGATAGGATCTCCACAATCTAGGTCTGCTAGCAAGTGTGACTCTCAGCTCCACCCCATCCAAAGCCTTTGGACCCAAACATAGCAGAGTAGCTTGGATGGTTGCAGTAGGGCTTGCCTTCTTGCACCGCTGGCTCTGGGAGGTCAGTGTCTTTCCACATTTATCACACTGAAAGCAGGACAGATGACAGTCTTTGCCCAGTGAGGTTAGATAAGTATACTTTGTCACAGGGCACCAGATCCCGATGAGCAGCTCAGCTAGGCTAGAACTAGTTGTATGCAGTGGACTGGTTTTGAGACTCTTTTTTGAGTTTGGGGTTTTTTGTTTTTATTATTTTTGGCAGTACTAGAGTTTGTATTCATGGGCTGATACTTGCTATGGCAAACACTTTAGCCATGCCCCAAGCCTGAGAGTCTAGATCTTACCTGAACCTTTTGTTTTCACTGTTTTTATTTGGTTTCTTAGACACAGTTATGTTAGGCAGATTTGAGGTACTGCTTCATTACTGCCCAAAGACATGTAAGTCCATG